ATGACCTGCGAATGCACCGATGAATACGTCGGTCGTAATTGTGAGATCCATCTTTTGAATACTATGGAAGGTAGGTTTCAATGTTGGTATGGTAAAAAATCTTCTGATGTAGATTAGAAATATCATTGCATAAATGAATTACATCATATAAGATTTGTTAGATTTATTATATTGATCTCTGATGAGATTCCAATGACTCTGAGCACCGAAATTGTGTCATTGGAATCGATACGTGAGGAAGAGCATTCACGAAATCAATGCTTGTTCACAGAATGCAGAATGGAGAATTGTATAATACAATGTCCTCATGAGGAAGTGGCGCAGCAGCCATGCGCATGCAGGAATGGCACGAAAATCTATAATAGTAAGTTTAAATAATCCTCTTTTATTCGGATTCTTGAGAAATTGGAATTTTTCTGCTTGGAAAATTCATGAAACGAAAGTGATTGATGGAAATTTTTACAGATCGATCGAGATACGAATGCAGAATCAAATTGTCGAACATGACATCCCTGAAAACCGGTCTAATATCACAATATGGCAGCTTGGAATCTTATATCAGTAAACAGGTAAGTGAAAAAGTTCTGAGAAAGTAATATTATTACTATATATAGTAATATATATATATACACATATATATATTATTAATATACAATAATATATTATTATTATAGAACTAGAATTATTAGAGAATTTTTAAAATATCTTACATTAGAAAAATTCTTTTCTTTCTTATCTATTCTCACAGTAAAGTTTTCTTAATTAAAATTGAACATTATTATGTCTCTTAACTGCTCTAATGTATAACAATATTATATGTATAATTATATAAAATATTGTAATTTTCGGGATGATTGTGTTATCTTAATTTTCGTGGCATAAATTAGAATTCGAAGATTGTTTATGATCATTGTAACTGTAATTCTCTTTCTGAACATTTTCTGATAACGAATATCGTTTCAAGATCTTAGACGTCTTTCCAAGTCTTTTGTCCATTGAATTTTCTTTCAAATTGTTTCATTACAATGTGCTTTCTTGAGCCATGGGATTCAAATAATTCTTTGTATTAGAGCATATCTTCAATAAAAAAAATGTCAATTTCTCAGGTAATCTATGTAGTAATTTTGATATAACTTCAACATCCATGTGGTTCAGCATTGCATTCATGAAAATTATATACACAATTGAAATCCTACCAAATTATAGATATAATAAATAATTAAAAATATATGTTTTATAATCAATTGTGTAACATTACAATCTGCTTTTACACGTGTTTTGATACACGTGTCTATTGAAAATCAATGTAACGTTTTACATTGAACATTGAAAAAAAACTCAATTAATATACTGAAAGATAAATTTTAAGTGTTTTCATGACTTATTTCATTCATTATTATAAATATAATGTTAATAATATTGAGATTCTTGAATTTTCCTCGTTGAAATCCATTAATATATTTTCACTTTTAATCAGTTACAGTTTCTTTTTCTTCTTTTTTTTATACAAATATATTTTTATATACGTATTTTGATAATACTATTTTACAAGAGATAACAAGTGTATATGTTAGACTATAATATACATACATTATATTTATATATATATATATATATATACATTTTTATATATATACATATTATATACAATATTAGTATCATTCAGTTACAGAAAAAAGTTTATAGATAAGAAAAACTATATATTATATCCTATATATCATGTTCACATATATATATATGTATCCAATCCACATTATGGACTTTTTTCATAATTACTCACGATACAATTATCTGATATCAATATAGAAAATAATTTTCCAATGTTTAATTCTATTGTGCATGTTTTTGGATATTTTTTTATACTTGATCATTCGTTATATTTACCAAAAATGTATCGTTATAAATTTATTTCTATTTTAATAATTCTTTAATAAAGAGTTGCATTCAATGTTAAAGGAAAAAGTATATTTTTTTACTTTTAATTAAAAAAAAAAAAATAATGTGTTTAAATCGATAGGAAATAAATTAAATTTAACGTATCACACATACACCGACATAATTATTCATCGTTACGTTATCGATTCACGTTCTCGAAACATGACATATATACGAGAAACATTAATGCTATTAAAGAAAAACTTGGTACATCCATTCTTCGAACTTTATTTTTGCACTAATTACTTAAATTGCACATCGTCAGTGAATCGCAAATTGATCCTGATTCAAGCTTATTTGAATTAAAAAATTGTTGTTGATCCTATTATAAAATAGGGGATAAATAGAATTTTTATATTAAAAAATAAAATCTGAAATAATTTTAAGAATTTTAATTATTGAAAGATTTTTAATATCTTTTATTAATATCTTTTATGTTAATACTTTTTCTAATGCTTAAAAAAAAATGTTGAATATTTAAAAAAAAAATGCTTTCTAGTTTTAAGGATTTGGGTTTAGAATCTAAATTGGCTTTTCTCCTTCCCGATTTCTGATTACTTAAACACGTATATAAGTGACGTCAAGATCAACATTTTTTTTCTTTTTCTTTACTGATATTTCTACCAACTCGTTTCATTCACAATCAATTTCCAACATGATACGTTTGGTTTTTCCAGAAATAAAGTAATTTCATTTTCTTTATGCTCTGCTTTTTATTTTTTTATTATTGTTTTCTAGTTTATAATTTCTTTTTACAATGATTTTTCATTATTGTTGTTCGATGACAAAAAAAATTTTTACTTTTAATTGATAAAATGGAATTTTATTAATTATATTTCTTTTTTCAATAAATCGAAATAATCTATTGTCTTTTGTTCACAGTAATTAATTATTTATTAATTAATTTTAATCATTTAAATCTTTATCGATATTATTGACAATAATTTTATCAATATCAATAATGACAGTGGCGCCACTCCGAGATCCAAAATCTTTTTCGATAACGGAATGAATTTTCCTTCTTCATAAAAATCAATAAATAGACTAAAAAGCTTCTTCTTTTTTTTTCATTATTACAAAATTTTATTATATAATATGTTGTATATAAAAAAAATAGTTGGATTTTTTATGTGGCTTCTAAAAATCTCAATATGTTTCAAAACAGCACGAACTATCTCTGATTTGTGTTCAACAATTCTATCAATAGAACTCTGCATACTTTGATATTTATAGAGTTAATATCATGAATGTTTCCCTTTTAAATGAATTTTATGAAAAAAAAAAAATGTTTTTCCAATCAATCTACAATTTAAACATTTTTTATTGAAAAATTTTATATTGAAAAAATTATAAATATATGTATTTATAATTGTGTATAAATTATATACAATTATATATTATTATTTATCATTATACAACTCTCTAAATCTTGAGAAACGATAAAATGTTACCTTCCTGGAATGATATCTCACAATCTTACTCGTCATAACAAGAATTAATGATTTTTTTTTCGCAGATGATAAGATTACTTGTCGACTCTTATATATTAAAGAATTCAACATCAACTCCAACAGAATCGATTACACCATTTATGGCATAATTGCAATAATTACATTTTAAAATTTAAAAATCTAAATTTCTCTAGATGAAAATTTAAAAATTTTCAATTTTTTCAATTTTTCTTTTCATTTTTTTAAATTTCAATTGATAAGCTTATTTACATTCTTTATATTTATAAATTTCAAATGTATATATTTTGAAATTTTCAAAAATTGGAAAAAGTTAAATACGTTCAGATGCTAGGATTACTGATTCATTCTTTGTTTTAATAATAAAATAATTATCGAATAAAAAAATCATTCTTTTTCATGAATATATTGTATTAAAGAATTTTAATATAAAATTCTAATTTGATATACTATGCAGTAAATGTTTTCAATATTTATATTTATCATAATATTTATCAAAATATGTTTAAATCACTTCGTTCTGGGAATCCTTTTTTTTTCCAGTTTGTAGATTGGAATTTCCAATAGTCGCTTACGCATACATGTTTCCGAGGTGACTGACTTATCAAGTTTCGATTTTAACTTTTTCTGTAACAAAAAGAAAATTTTCTCTAATTAATAAAAAATAAATTTATCCATACAAATTTGTTTTGTAATTTCCTTACAACCAAATTGGTTACGTAATGTATCAACTTTCTACTTTATCGGAATTAAAGTCATTATGTATGATTGATTTAATTTTAACACATTCATAGTTCTATTGAATAATAATATACGCATAAAACGAGATTAAAAAGAATAAAGAAAATAAGAGAAACATTGTATGAATAAAAGAGACAACTAAAAAACAGATGCGATATATCGACGATATATGCGATATATTTTGTAATTTCCATTAATCGGATAATGATTCTCTGATATATTTTTATATGGATTATTCGCAAATCTGTTCAGTTGCAAGGATGATGAAACTAGACATATAAGATTCAATTGTTTGCATCATATATGGTATGAGCACGTGCTATCGATCGAAATGTCCTGCCAAGAAAAATGGATGTAAAATTTATTAACCAAACAAACTTGACATCTATCGAGTTCGATATTCATGTATGATTATCGATATAATTTTATTCACGTTTAATTTTTTGATATTTTGAATATGAAGAAAAAAAAAAGATAATATTTATTGTAAGACTGCCATCATTGATATACGTAAAAAATGTCATCTCATTCTCAAGTTTCTATCTATTTGACTATCCTTCTCTTCTTAAAAGAATGGTTATGCGCAATAGAAGCAACATTTCGAACGAATAGACAATCGAAATCTGTAATTCTTCTTTAACAATTATCAATAGCATCGATATTTGCAAAAATTTCCTGTATACAATAATTTTTCCTAGATATTGAAATTAAGCATGTTGAAACTTATTAAAACAATAATAACTAATTCGAAGAATGATAGAAATTTTTACATAAATTTACATTTCAAAATAAATTATAGATACATATTAATTAGCATGACATATCTATTTATTACTTTTCTATTTTAAAAATTGCTACAGTTTTCATTTTTCATTTTATTTTCTGTTTCCTAGTAAAAATTTTCATAGTGAATTCGTTGATAAAAAAACTCCGCAATATATAGATTCGACATGCTTTATCTGGAATATCCCTGAATATATAGTATTGCAATGCATGTTGCTAGGTGGGGGTAAGAGATGTATAAAAGCGACGTGTGTCGATTATCGAGGTCACTCGTCAACTGGAACTGTTGAGCGGTACGCGTGTTTTCAACGTGAAAGTTTTTATCGTTGCATAAGATTATATCGAGATAACTTGTGCATTTTGACAAAAAAAGTTTCTAAAAGAGATCAGTGAAACAAAAGTGTGTATTTAATTATTATAAACTGGCGATCAAAAACGAAAGAATTCCAACTTTTAGTGAAGTGTGTAAGAGAGTACTAGAAAATAATAAATCGACAAGTAAGCAGAGACAAATACTCACAGATATGACACGTTGCCAAAGTCTACAATCCTATGCATCCTCTACAATGTCTGATAGGTATGAATTTTCATTTTTTATATGTGATGCTGATTTTACGAAGAATTTGACAATATTAAATTGCGGAATTCATTGAAACTGTATCAAAAAGTAATTATGAAATTATTATTTTTGAATTAACTCGAAATGTTTTATTTCTTAATAAAAAATATGATATTTGAAAGTACATGACAAAATAATATCTGAAAAATGAAAGTTTTATCATCTTTTATTATAAGCTTTTGCTTTATCGTCGAATTCTTCACTAATTTAAAAAATAAAAGTTGGAAAATAACTTGGAATACTCATCTCAATTGATTTTCAGTGGAAACTTATCGTGGACCGAACAAAAAGAAATATTTAGATATCCTAGAGGCACTATAACGTGCGGTATGTTACCAACATTACGAGCTCTAGCATCCAAGGAATGCGAGAATAATCAGAGTATTATTTGTCTTGTACCTTTCGATACGGATATGGATTCTGCCAGTCACCTGCAAATGATCTTGCTGGAGGCATATTGTCGTGAGACAGGGATTAAGGTGTTAAGAGTATCCAGAGAAAGAATACGAAACCATTTATGTCCTGAAAGCGGCGATTTATCCTGCGTACTCATCTCCAATGACGATCCATACTTCTTAGATACACCGGAATGAATTTGAAACATGTTCATTTATCAAGAATGAATTTTTTTCGACTGGATGCAGTCACATAATATCAAGAAGTTCTGAAAAAGAATTCGATATTGAATTCGATGTAGATGGCAGGAAACACATCTTCAATAGACATTTTCGATACAGAGAGAGAAATCGATTATAAAGTTCAACTCGAACAGAGCATATCGATAACGAAGATTAACATTCTAAAAATATAACAAAAATTATATTTATATATATCTCGATTGCGATAAGCGATTTTAATCGCTAAAATTGTTCAAAGAAAAAGGTGATATGAAAATGATCGATTGTGATCCGTGCAAATACATATGTGTACGTGTATAAATATATATAAATGCATTCGTACACACACATACGCGCGCGCGCACGTACGCACACACATTTTTTCATTACAATGTAATTGTTAAATCAATAAAATTAATTATATTATATATATTTAATTATATTAAAAATAAATCATGTTACCGTTATGATTATTTTGTAATAATATACATATATGTTACTACAGAAAGTGATTATTTTTATTTATTCCTATAATTCTCTTCTTTATTTTTCCTTTGAACAATAATTGATTACTATTCTTTAAAATGGTATTATTTCTTCGCAGCTTGCAAAATATTTAAGGAATTCTAATATCTCGTTTACGGAGGATTTACAAATCCTGAGCGTGACGTGAGTAGGTACATTAAATGATAAAAAGTTCCATTTTCTTTTTGTCAAGATTTTTAATGGAAGTAAAGATATATTACATATAAATATATATTATAATAAAAAAATGAGAATAATGAAATGTTTTAATATAACGAAATAATGAAATATATTAATATTAATAAAAAAATATTTAAAATTTAAAAATTATATAGAAGATAGTTTTTTTATTCGTTATATAGACCCACATCGGAAATTACTTTCCACTTTTTCGGAAATTCTGAGGATGGGGATAAAATTCGAGAATCGCTCAACAAATTGGTTCAACGACGACGGCTCAGTGAAATTTCTCTTGAATCGACTCATTTTACTTTTCAACAAAAACCTACGCTCAAATTACAGGTATTTATGTATCATTGATCTTCCTTGAATATATTTTTTATAAATTGATCTTACTTATTTTCATTGACATTCCTTCAGAGTCTTAAGCTAAGTAAAAGAAATGAACACGAAATTCATCTAGGAGATCAAATCATTCTTTCTTGCGTTGCTCAAGGCAGTTATAACATAAATTTCACATGGTACAAGGATAATATGTTAGTGAACATGAACAAAGCCATCAGGTGAACAAATAGGAAATATTATTATAATTTATTAATCGAACAATTAAGTAACTAAATAAAATAATAAAAATACTGCAGTAACTTTGAACGGCAACGAAAAATTTTTATTTTATAGGGGAATTCGATATAAATATTTTTCCAATGATGGTTCCGATCTACACACATCGGTATTAACTATTGAAAAAGCAACTTTACTTGATGCTGGTCAATACACTTGTCAAATAGTTGATTGGGGCGTGCAACAATGTAAGGGTATTTACATAGACGTGAGAGATGAACCGGATGTAAAGGTGATGCCAATGAGCGTCACTATAGATAAGGTGATTTTAAAAAAAATTTTTTTTATTTAAATAATAATTTGAATAATAATTGAAATGAATATTTTTATAAACTGATTCTTCTGTCAGGGAACCAATATACAATTAACATGTATGACGCCTAATGTACCTAATATTGGAATAGGATTTGGTTGGACAAAGAACAAAGTTCTATTGAAACTAGAACTTGGTAGTGAAGTCTGGGAAGATTTATATCCGACTGGAAGTATATTAAAAATTACAAATGCACAGGTACTTAATTAATAACAAATTATTCCTATTTTTTTTTTTATTTAAAATGTAATATTTTTCTTACGTTTATTACATTATATTTTTAGAAATCTGCAATATATACTTGTAATGTAGCAGACAAGTTTATGTCTGTTCGTGTACAAGTTGTAAATCGAACATTAATACCGATTTGTTTAAAAGAGAAATCCTGGGGTTTAATTTGGCCAGATACTGCTCCTGGATCTGAAGCATTATTAGAATGTCCTCAACATTTTGTGGGTAAAACAGTATCCAGGCTATGTACAATGAAAGATGCCACAACTCCTGAATGGCAAATACCAGATTTTTCTTTCTGTTTATTTGAACCATTAGTTATACATTATAATAAATTTAAAAGCTTAACTTTAGGATATCAAAATACAAGTGGTTCTGAAACAATTTTCCTATTTTGGGAAATCCTACGAACTCGTAATTTACCTCTCTATCCCGGTGAAGGAGATCGTATTTTAAGTATTCTGACAGAAATAGAACGTTATCAATATCACATTGATCCATCTGATTTATATGCCTCCACAGAAACTTTGATACGAATAATTAGTCGTATATTGAACGATGAAAATTCAATTTTGAATCAACAAGTATGAAAATTTAACTCGTACAAATTAATAAACAAAAGAAATGCATAAACTTTTAATTTTCAGAAAGTTCTATTGCTTCTTCAAATCATTCAACGAAGTTTAATACATTGGTCCAAGATGACTATCCATCCTTATAAGCATTTATCCTTTTCTTCCTTGGTAGTAGACGTTCAAGAACTACAGCAACATAGTGGAGATAGTATCACTCATTCTCTTCAAATCCCTATAGATGAATCTATGTAATTAAATAACGCACACATAAATTAACATAAATTAAATAACGTTTGTTAAATAACATTATATTTATAAAATATCATTTATTTCATTAAATTATTCAGGTATCCAAATTGGTACGAAGATAAAACAACAGTGCGATTATGGAAGAAACGGCAACGTGGAATAAAATCTAATAGTACCTTATATGGAATAGTAGTGGTTTACAAAAATATATCTCATTTTTTTCCTGCAACATATGTTAAAGAACTTGAGTAAGCAATGACAATGTTAAATTTTACTTTCTATTGTTCTAATTATTCAATTCAAATACTTTTTATTACTAGTGATGGTACAGATTTGGAATTTCGAATAAATTCTCGAGTTATCACAGTAGCAGTGCCTACCTTCAATCTAGACAAACATAATAAAATCTGGGTAGATCTACAGCTAAAACACATACAGAATCAGTCAAATTCGTGGAATTTGTCTTGCGGGTTTATGGACGTTACAGGTTCCTGGGACCTGAACAATTGTATCGCCAATACATCTCCAAGCGATGCTGCCACGCATTGTCTTTGTCCTAATAGCGGAACTTTTGCAGTTTTCTTAACAGCACGTGCTGTAAGAGTAAGTTCAAATAGAGATCGTTATATTTTTTATTTTATTTTTATTTTATTAATTAATATTAAATTTTATTGGATTATTATAAAATAAAATTTAATAATATAATTGTCAGGTAGTACTTGCAAAAAAAGAACAGACCACATTCATCGTGATATTTGGATGCGGTGGTTGTTTGGCACAATGTCTTCTATCCTCTTTGATCCTTGGAACTTTTTGGTGGACAAATCAAAGCTGGATGAACTTTTTAAAGCTTCAGTGTTGCTGTGCTTTAATCGGAGCAATGGCTGTTTTCATTTATGCCGTTCATAATGATTTACCAGAGGTAATTAGAACATATTCGCATTGATTTTAGGAGCTTTTTATATAATATTAATTTTATTTTAGAGTTCCTATGCGATCGTGGCAATAACTTTGGAAGCTTTTCTTCTTATTGGTATGTCAGCGCCGGTATCAGAAGCTCTAATCATTTATGCTGGTCTAACTCAAGTTCGATCCAGTCAACACTTTCAACCTACCGTTATTGCAGTCATTACGGGTATAGTCATTCAAATAATAATAATAATTAATTAAAATCCACTAGATTTAATTTTTTTATTTAATATAGGTGTCCCTATCTTAGCTGTGTTAAGTACAGAACTCACACATAAGAGTACCGGTTGGAGACACGAATCATGGTGGTTAATTTTTGGCAGTGGAGTTTATAATATCTTTGTTACTTGCGCGACAATGATGTTTCTTATATTTATATTATTATACTTGGGAATTTTACACAAAGCTCATGCTCTTGTTGAGGAAAATGTTATGAAAAAGGAAGCGATAGATATCAGGTATAATTATTTATACAACTTAAAAAAAAAAAAAAATTAAAAAATAAAACATTCGTTTTTTTCTTTTAGATTACGAATGCTTCATCGAGCTGCCATAGTCATTTGTAGCATTATTGCGACAGAGACTGCCTCCATTTTTTATATAAATTCCACTTCCATCATTTTTCATTATATATTTGCTTCTCTTTCTTCTGTTTTGGTAAGTGCATTGATAATTTTAATTGAATAAATAAAAGTTTTATTTCTAACTATGACTTTCATAAATTTAGGGTTTTGTTATAATGATGATGTATATCATAAATGGTGAATTGACTACGATTGATTTAATCTTACGAAAACTAAAATGGAAACAAAATGCAGAAGAAGAAGAAATAACATCTGAACCGATAAAGGGTACTTATGAAAATTACATCATCTAATAATACATAATATATAAATAAGTGGATTTTATATTTATTAAATGAAATAAATTTATCATCTTACTAGTGTGTTCAAAAAATAGTGCAGAAGTGGAGAATGACACCGCTCCACCTCTCCAATCATCTTTGGGTATTGGAGAATCATATTTAGAAGTTCGCGGGATTGCAGCGGGTAGTATAGACATGCGGGAATTCATCAACGAATCCTCGTCTTCATATTCGAAATCTTCCATTCCCATTGCCAACAGATTTCTACCAGAGATTCGCATCGATCATTCGGATGATATAAACCTGGAGAATTATAGCACTAGTCCGCGAAAGTATCAAGAAGCTATCGCGTTTGATAGTATAGTTTCTTCACGATCATCGCACTATGTAAACGAGCCCTATACCACGAATGAATGTTGCAGTTTCCGGGAATTTGGTAAATTTAGAGAGTCTCAAGGACAAATCTTCATTGCACACAATCCGTCGTCAGAAAGTTCAGCAAAAGTTCTATGCAGCGCTGATGTTGAATCACGTTTAAGTGGGATGCCAGATGTGACTTTGGCCGTGAAAAAAGACGTTGAATTATCCGTGCCAGATCTAAAAAGTAGGGAACATGTAAACGTTATTCCCGATATTGCCAACACCACGGAACGTAAACAACCTGATGGTGAAGAAAAGGCACCTGAAATTGTGATCACGAACTGCGAAGCTACAGCAAGTGGTATGCTAGATCGTAT